CTCAATGAGCCCACAGCTGGGTAAAGGGGAATGTGAGTATCCCAGAAAAAAATCTGGAATGGATATTGAAAGATCCCTTGACATTCTATGCCACAGGTTGACTCAGAACTTTCTAACTCCAAATATCATTGAATATTAAGTAGGTTATGATTCTTTTTTTTTTAAGATTTGATTTATTTATTTGACGAGAGAGGGGACACAAGCAGGGGGAGTGGGAGAGGGAGGGAGAAGCAGGCTTCCCACGGAGCAGGGAGCCTGATGCGTGGCTCGATCCCAGGACGCCGGGATCATGACCTGAGCCGAAGGCAGATGCTTAACAACTGAGCCACTCAGGTGCTCCATGTTATGATTCTTTTTGAAAAGAGGAAGAGGAATAAGAGAATTCATCCTATCTATTCTCTGAGCGGAGTGGAGTTGGGGGTGGGTTACCCTGATGATGGGTATTAAGAAGGGCACGTATTGCATGGAGCACTGGGTGTTACACACAAACAATGAATCATGGAACACTACATCCAAAACTAATGAAGTACTGTGTGGTGACAGATATAATAAAAAATAAGTTAAAAAAAGAAAAGAATAACCTTGTAAGTTTATTATGAAAGCAAAAGAGACTTCCAAAAAGATGAGAACAAAGATCTGTAGTTCCACCACTTAGAGATAACCTCGATTAGCTCCTAAGTGTATACTATTTCAGAGCTCGATGGTGCATACATTTAACACATTTTACTAAAAACAGTATCTAATAGTGAGTACTCTTTTATGCAAGCTTCTTTGTCATTCACAAAATTTTTGAGTATATTTTCAAATAATTTAATAATTTCCTGCAACATCATTTAAAAGCACAGCACATCGAATCTGTGTTTGGCTGAACAATGATCTGCTTAATCAATCCCCTATAACTGGACATATAGGCTATTGCCCTCAAACTGCTAATCACACCATAATAGCTAATGCCAAAAGAACATCGCTTGGTCTTTCAATCCAGTGAGCTCTTGCCTTAGAGCTAGTTGCGGAAGATGCAGAAGGAAAGGATACAACATTTTATCCACGCAGTCTCAGTAAGCCTGACCCATTTTGTAGTTTATCTGGCTTGGAGAACAGCCAGCAGGGTGCAAGGTGCAGAGGGATGCATAGTAATGCCTTGGAAATGATAGCAAACAAATGATATCAAACACCTTCGTGTACCACCTGCAGTAGACACCAAGCTTTCTCACTGCTCGGCTAAGGACCTGCAAACCCCAGAGGGACTCTGTTTCCTGCTTAATATGTCAACAGCAGCTTGTGCTTGGGTTTGAATTGGCTTCAGCTCTCTGCTTTTCCCCTCTCCAGTCTTAGAATTAATCACTTCTTTCAATAGAATCATTCCTGCAATAGGTTTGTGGGTGGGTTAAAGAAAAACGTAATAACCCAAGAAGCCTCTAAATTTAAGATGTTAGTTTTTCTGGCTTATATAATTTACATAATTATTTGTTCATGCAGCATTTGTTTATCAGTTTTGTGATTGCTTTATATGATATGAAATTTCCTGGCAAGTCCCAGAGTGCCGGCTTCTCAGGCTGCCTATGCAGGTTTTAGCCCTGCAGCAATAAAGCAAATAAATAGCTATAGGGCTGCCCGGCGTTCAGATAAGGAAAGCACCACCCTTCTGAGCTGCTGAACTGAACTGGCCATCTCAGTTTGGGGGAACAAAATCTCTTCTGTTTTATTAATTCTATTAAAACTATTCATAGGGAAAAAAAAACAGGTTTTATTAAACTCGGGGGACCAAGATAATTCACTGCTTGCTAGGATTTGATGCACTAGTATCTTTGTGGCCTGTATAAGCATCATTAGATAGTCACTTTTAAGGTGAGCTGGTATATTGCATTCAATCCATCATATAAAAATTCAATAAAACAAGTATTTATTGCATCTTTATTCTGTGCCAGGCTCTCTTTGCCAAGTCTCCAGAGACAGAGGGGAGCAAGAAATATTCCTGCCTTCAAGGGGTTCACAGTTTAAGGAGGGAAACACACACACACACATACACACACACACACACACACACACACACACACACTAGAATATGATTCTAGCTGAGATAAGTAGGAATGTGATGCTCCAGGAACATCCAGAGGGAGTGATTCATTTGGCTGAGTCTAGTCTGCTTCTCCAGTTCCATCAGATCTGTGTTTGAGTAGACTACTCTGCCAGCAGTAAGGAGGCAGGAAAATCAAGTGGGACCGCATTTCCATCATTCAGGAGGGAGCAAGGGAGACTTGATTCAGGAAGTAGAAGGAAGTACAAATGAAGGTTGGCACAGTATTCGTTCTTTCTTACCAAGCTCATAGCACTTCCAAGTGTACTCGTTTCCACATTTGGGCTCAAGAACACTTATTTTGGGTAAAAATTGGAAAGATAAGCAAAAGACAGGTGATAAAACTGTAGACACTGGCTATAGAAGAGGTTAGCTAGAGACCAACTCATGAAGAGTTCACCATGTCAAGGAACAATACGAATGTACCCAATCAATCAAAAATTATTTCTAGTAAGTTCAGAGAGGAAAACTGACTCACCAGTCTATGATAGGTTAGCTAGGAAGAAAAATGTCCCTATTTGAAACAAAGTCAGATCACTGGCCAAAAAGAGTTCTTAAACAATGACTTTAAATAAACTCCTGGCCAGTCAGAACGGCTAAAATTAACAAGTCAGGAAACGACAGATGTTAGCGGGGATGTAGAGAAAGGGGAACCCTCCTACACTGTTGGTGGGAATGCAAGCTGGTGCAGCCACTCTGGAAAACAGTATGGAGATTCTTCAAAAAATTGAAAATAGAGCTACCATATGATCCAGCAGTTGCACTACTGGGTATTTACCCCAAAGATACAAATGTAGGGATCTGAAGGGGTATGTGCACCCCGATGTTTATAGCAACAATGTCCACAATAACCAAACTATGGAAAGAGCCAAGATGTCCATTGACAGATGAATGGATAAAGAAGATGTGGTATATATATACAATGGAATATTATGCAGCCATCAAAAGGAATGAAATCTTGCCATTTGCAACGACGTGGATGGAACTGGAGAGTGTTATGCTGAGCGAAATAAGTCAATCAGAGAAAGACATGTATCATATGACCTCACTGATATGAGGCATTCTCAGGAAACAAACTGAGGGTTGCTGGAGTGGTGGGGGGTGGGAGGGATGGGGTGGCTGGGTGATAGACATTGGGGAGGGTATGTGCTATGGTGAGCGCTGTGAATTGTGCAAGACTGTTGAATCACAGATCTGTACCTCTGAAACAATGCATTATATATTAAAAAAAGAAGAAGAAGAAGATAGCAGGAGGGGAAGAATGAAGGGGGGGAAATTAGAGGGGGAGACGAACCATGAGAGACTATGGACTCTGAGAAACAAACTGAGTGTTCTAGAGGGGAGGGGGGTGGGGGGATGGGTTAGCCTGGCGATGGGTATTAAGGAGGGCACGTTCTGCTTGGAGCACTGGGTGTTATATGCAAACAATGAATCATGGAACACTGCATCAAAAAATAAATAAATTTAAACAATAAATAAATAAACTCCTGGCCAAAAGGCATAGTTTCTTGTTTCTTCTTTGGTTGATCCATTCCTTAGCCAATAAGATTGGTCCCGGAGCCAGCTCACCTGAGTTTGAGCCAGGGCTCCCTCACTAGCGCTGTGACTTGGCATTAGAGTGTCAGTAGTACTAACTCATAAGGTTGTGGTAGAAAGTAAATGACTGACTCGATGTGAAGCTCTTAGAACAGTGCCTGGCATGAATGCTTACTGGTGCGGGCTCTTTCCGTCCGCATGCGTGCTGGAGTGCTTAGTACTGAGTACTGTGAGGCAGGCACATTTGAAGTCCTGGGCATAAAGACCAAGATGCTTTTACCCCAACCTGAAGAAGCTCATCATCTACTGAGGATGACAAATGGGAATAAATGATTGTGCCAATATGGCTATGCACCCCACACTTTGGGGAACGGAGAAGAGAATGAGCAGGGAGGGCTGAGCTGAGGCCTCAGCTTCAGGGGGCCTGCGCTTTCTTAAATTTCCTGTTTTCTTTTCCTGCACAAACTTTCTCTGTCTTCACCCCTTAGTTATGCTAAGGGAACCCCAATTTCTTCTAGATCCTTTGTTTAGAAAGCACATTTGGGTAATTACACTCTGGCTTCCTTGAATGAGGAAATAAATAAGCGGATGTTTCTGGTGTGTGGGGTTAGGGGTGCGCTCCCCATTGGCCCCTGGGACAGGGAAGAATGCCCTGGGAAGGAGGAGAGTGACTTCCGGAAGGATAGTCACAGATCAGACCCACGTTTTAGTTAAATAAACAAAGGCATCTCAGGGCCTTGGTGAAGATGCTGGGGGAGGAGAAGACACAGAGGGAGGTGAGGACTGGCTGGAATGATGTTCTTATGTTCCTTGGGGTATGTACAGCAGGGGGGTAGGCAGTTAGTGAATTGAAAAAAGGAACAGATGATGTCATGGTTTTAGGCTGTGCACTTTGAGTCTAGCTACCTAATGCCCCCATTAGTCAACGACTCAGCTGGGCAAGACCACAATAAAACAGTGACATTTAGAAAGCTTCATTTTTTTTTTTCTTTTTCTCAGAGTCCATTGCCATATTGAGGAGATCCTGTCACTAAAGAGATCGCTGAGGAGAAAACTGGAGATACTTTGCATCTCAGTGGATTTGGGGAAGCTGTTGGTTCTTTATGATGCCAGCCTTTTTTTTTTTTTGCAAGGTGCCACCAGGAACAGTAACATTGTTTTATTTGTAAAGTGTCTCACATGCACGTTTCACTTGGTTTTTATACTCAGTATATAAGGTAGGTCCTGTGAAATGAGCTTCATTGTTATTTTTATATGACACACGCTGATAAGCAAGGTTAAGCTTGTCTAAAGGTGAGGGGTGGAACCAGGGCTCCAGCCTCAACTGGAAGCCATTGTTCATCCCTCTCTGGACCTTAGCAAGCAGTCAGCAAGACAGACAGCTTACCCCCTTTCCTTCTTCCGCAGAAAGAAAACTTGGGTAGATCCTCTTCACAGATGGGATAGGAGAAATTCAAAATGGGCGATCCTTTATTGAAGAGAGCTACGTCAAGAAACAGCTCTTTGATGTCCTCTCCTAAAGGGAAAGAAAAGATCGGCTTTACTATTAGCGTGGGTTTCGCTTCGTATCAAAGCAGTCAACATTTATAGAAGCATGAGCCAAAAGGCCTTTTATTTCCAGAAGCCTGCCCTGTGAGAACAGTTTTATTCCTTCCTTCCTTCTTTTCCCTCCCCACTTCCTTCCTTCCTTTTTTTTTTTTTTTTTTTTAAAACAGCACGTAGGCAATGCTACAGGGGATAATGGCAGGAGACCTCGGTATGAATATGGCCCTTTTATGAACTTGATCTGTTTGGAGCAAGGTAGGCACTCTGTTGTGCTCCTCTGCCCAGATGCTCTGGCCCCTCAAGGAGACGGCTGCAGGTCTGGCTTCTACAACTTTTCAGCTGCAGTATTACGTGCCTCTCCTGAGAGCGGTTGGGTGGGGTCACCCCCCGCCCCCGCAACAGTCGCTAGGTAGATATTGTATCATATTACACAGGAAGCTTTAGGGTGCTCTGCCTTTTTCTCCATTCCTCCTTTTATGTGCCCTCCACTCCTGTTTTCATTCTTCTTTGATTACTCGGCTGCTGCTGTAGAATCCAGATATTGGGCAAGGTTCTGGAAATATGAAGATGCACGAGAATTCTTGGTTGCCAGCAATGTTCCCTCCATTTCTCTGGAATGATTCCACACTCTAAGTTTATTAAGTCCTTCTGTTCTGGTTTTGATAAAACTGCTTTAGAAAGGAGATACTCTAGTAGCTGTAGCAATATAATGGCTAAGTGTAAAGGCATGTCCAAATAAAAATAAACAATCAGACAGCATCCTAGCTCATTAATTGGGGTGGAGGGAGAAGATATTACATATTTTCCCCTTTGTCAAAGGTTCAAGAACTTGCACCAGCCATTTGGGAAATGAAATAAATTAAATGATAAGCCATATGGTGGTAGACTTGTTTGTTGCTGAGATAACAAAGCAAAAGCTCTCTCCCACAGAGACATCAATATTTAGGCTTGACGTATTATCTTCTTTTTTGTTGTTGGCTTTACGGATTCTGGGTGCTGATATCACCCAAATGAATGCTTCGAGTCTTCTCAGTACAAGAGCACAGCATTCAGTGGGAGCTCCCCTGTATCTAGATGTTACCCAGAGAGAGAAGTAAAAATGAAGAAGGAAATAGAGTTGTCCACAGAGTGGTGGGGACAGTAGCTTAGCCAGCCACTTAGCCAGCTACTGTAGTTAGTGGAAGTAATCGCGGTATGTGGGCCAGGAAGAGATTGCGCAATGTTTTATTTCATGTCAATACTCTTTACTTACTCAGAATGATTCCAAATCTAACGTTGAGATTTGGCTTTAAATGTTTAGAACACTGGTCAACAGAAAAGCCAAAATCTTGTAATGGATCTGCCAAGAAGAACACAACAGATTAGGTGTGAGTACATTGCATGCTCTGCAAAGTTCCATTAAAAGTTCACACCAATGATATCATTTTTTTCCCTACATGAATCACTAAAATTGATTCAAAAACATATTGTCCAGCACTTTGTTTTTGCATAAACTCCTGATGCCATCAATAATCCTTCCAAGTCTCTCCATAGTTAATGTTGATCAATGCCATGTTCCAATGGCAGGCTCTCAATCTGAAATGAGCACAGGGTCTTGATGGGTGGGTTAGACCCTTACTTAACATTTTTATCATTGCTTGAATTCTTGTAGTTCCTGAACTTTTGGCCTTAAAATTTCTCACTGATTATTTGAAACATTTCATAAAGCATTTATTACATAATTAAAAAGAGAGAAATATATGCAGATTTTCAAAGTTAGGACCTGCCTTTATAATTTTGTCCCATCCCACTTCAGTCAATGTAATAATTTTTTTTCCCTAACAGTCCATTATATGCAAGGTACTGTGATATGATAGGGACTGCAAAGATAGGGTCTTTTACACATACCTTCTGCTCATTCAGAAAGCTCCAGAGGCTCATCTATCCCTCAGAATAAAGTCAGGAAATGTCCTACTGGCCCCACCTTCCATCCTCCACATCATGAATCCATTCTCCATTTTTTGAGGTCAGGTAATCACCCAGCAAATTCACACTATGGTTACTTGCTCACTCGCTTTCTCTAATGTGTAATGGTCTTACCCTTTTGGCTGTGGTCTAAGTGAGGTCTTGGTCATTCTCATCTTTTTTTGTGAAGGTTTCCCTGATCATCCCCCAAATGTTTTTTGGCTTCTCTGAATTCCTAAAATAGTTTTGTCTGAAATATTTTTTCAAAGCGTATGAACATGTATTACTTTGTACTCTGCTCTTGGACTCATCCTACAATACTTAAAACATGAAACTCCTGAAAGACAGGAGCTGGGTTTTTGTTTTGTTTGTTTTGTTTTGGTTTCTATTTCCTTTTCCTTTATGTTTCCCACTGGGTCTTAGAGAGAACTGATTTTAACTGAGTTGTCCTCATCACCGAGCTGTGCACTTTATAAGAGCTTTCTGTTTAATCCTCCAGACTCCCCAGTGCATAGCGCAGAGCCCCTCAGTCAGACACATGGAAAGCACCCCATACACGTAGGTAATGAGTGGATGAACAGACCATGTGTCCCTCAGCTCCAAATCCAGCCTTCCGAGGTCCACTGTAGAGCTGGCGCTCTCTGTGATCACATTTCTCCTTTGGCATCTGCCAGCAGAGGTGAGAGAGGGAGACTGAGGCTGAGCAGGGGAAGGAACCAGCTCCTTCTTCCATACTTGCTGGTCCTTGAGAGTGTCACCTGGAGATGGACTGGCACCCTGGTAGTGGCAATTGGTTCCAGTGTCCAGCTCTGTTCTGCACCTTCTCAGAATCAGTGGAGGCTCAGCTGCGTGGGCTCCTAAGCTTCTGTTAGGACAGTTTCTGCTGCAGACACTGTCTCCCCGTCCCCAGAAATCTGTGCCTCAGCTCCACAGGACCCTTCTTGGAAGCCTCCAGGTTGTGATAACTTCAACCTCTGCCCTCTGTCCTCCCAACTCTCAGGGTGGTCGCTGCTGACCGCTGACATGGTCTGTATTTTCCCTAGGGGACCCAGACTCTTAGGACAAACGACAATCTTGAGAGATAGCTATGATTTTCCTCCTTCCACAGATGGAAAAATATAGACTCAGAGAGGTTATATTAACTTATCTGGGTCCCGGAACTATAAGGTGGTGGAGTCAAGATTCGAACCCAGAACTAAACAACAAACAAAAAATGACAGCCCAGGATTGTGCACAAATATTCACCAAGTAGAGCCTCAAAGCTGTATGTTAATGATTTAATTTGTAAGATGGCCTGGAATATTTTGTGCATGGGCATATGGCATGTGATAATTCTGTTTCATAACTGGTTTTAATTTCAGCTTAGCTATGAGCTCACATTTGTCAATGATGGTGTTCCAGACAGTCTTATCATCCACATTGCTGACCTGGAAGATATGTAATTGTCTGGTATCTGCCATGGAAATGATCACTAGGCTATTTTGCCTTTCAAATCTAATCTAAGGTGCAGTTTTGTTTGATCAAACCCTCTTGGATCTGGCCATTCATTTTCCTGGGGAAAGGCCATTTTCTCTTATGCTCATTTTCCTTCTTCATAAGCACCTTTGTGCTGTCCCAGGCTTCTCTCAGCTTGGGAAATGGGAGCAGGAGGTATGGAGACAATTGTCCCTGCTACATATTTGGCACTCAGTATTGAAAAAGAGAGGCCAACAGACGGACATTCAGGAAAGTGCACCCACAGAATTGTGAATCAATTCAAACTGCTGTCTAAGGAAAGATACTAGAGCTACATACGTATCCCTTCGCTGATTAGCAGTTACAGAATTGCACTGTATGTTTATCGATATTTTAAAAGTATAGATAGAAAGAATGAACTAAGGGCAGGAGAAGGAAGTAAAACATCTTGGTACTGGAAAAATACTGTTAGGAAAATAATCTTAATAGGGAATAAAGTCACAGAGAAAGCAGTAGGTTGCTTCTCTCTGAGGATGGTGTATGTATATAAAAACATTAAGGCAGTTTGCTTCAAAAGTGCTTAGGGGCTTGGTGATCTTTCCCAGCAGTTGTATGTTATATTTATTCTATATTTGAGATCGAATTTTATATCTGAGACTGAATATGCAGTTTGGAGTTGTCTTGGGGGAAGTGACATCAGTTCCTCCTGTCCCCCAGTACCACTCTCACAGACGCATGTCCTTTCCTGTGTTAATATGTATTTTCACTCAGGCTCCATATTGCCTTGTATTTTCCTTGTACCTTTGCCATTCCTCCACTAGATGCTGTAAGGCAGGCTCCCAGCCTCAGGGCCTAGCACACTGTCTGAAGATTATGCTAAGTTCCAACTGCTTCTTTGCTGAATGAATGATAAAGTTTATATACGTAGTAAACTTATAGAGAACTCTAAGGCAGGTTTTCTCAACCTTGGCACTACTGACATTTTGGATCAGATAATCCTTTTTTTGTGGGGGTTGTAGGATGTTAGCAGCATTTTTGGCCTCTACCCCGCAGATACCAACAGTTCCCCAACCGCCCCCCCCCACCCCGCCCTGCCCCAATCCAGTTGTGACAACCAAAGATGTCTCCAGACATTGCCAAATGCCCCCTGGAGGACAAACCTGCGTCTGGTGGAGAACCACTGCTTTTAAGAATTGCTTTCTCAATTACCAGATAAGTGCTTCCGACTCATGTACCAAAATAAAAGATCGTGGGTTGCATTTTTTAAGTAGTCCTTCTTATGTAATATGAGAACTGCTGGGGAGTAGGGTGAGAAGGGTTACTCCTTTGGACACTTGCCTCAAGTAATTTTTAATACATATAAATTGGATTATCTGAACTTGGATCTTCTGAAGGAATGAAATTGGAAAGTTAATGAGAGTTGGTGTTCCCGGGCTGGGAGGGCAGAGATAAATATTTCCTCTAGACACTTCATTGTAGAACACCCAATGAGCTGAGAAAAGAGGCTAAAGCTTCATGGTGCCATATACAATCTTTTCATCTTGAGTACTTTTTCCTTAGCCTCTGTGTGATGCCCCCCTTCTGTTGGTTCTGTCGACATCTGTGGCTTCGGACCAAGGGAGGATAGTGGTTGCAGTGAGTGAGCGCACATGCTCTCAAACTGCCCCCACTGCTCCTTGCCTCTGGGACGCTTGCATGTGGAAGGCAGGCTCCTCTGAACAGCTGAGAGCAAACCGTGGTAGGGGCGAAGAAGAGGATCCGGGTGTGTATCTGCCTTGCATATTAAGGGCAGTGACAGTCCAATGCATATTAAGGGCAGTGACAGTCCAGTGCATCTTGGGGCTGTTTTCCTCCTCATTCATAGGGTAGAAGAGATTTAGATTAGCAGGTGGGCTAAGTGTGGTCAGGGTCTTAACAAATCTCAGCTCCAGAACAATTTTTGTGCCTTAAGCTCCGTTGGTGGGCTGTGCTCTTCTAGTCTGGACTGGAGCTGGGCAGTTGTCCAGGAAAGGACAAGCTTGCCTTGGTAGTTTCTAGCCAGTTCTGGGCCTCAACTGGAACCAGGGAATAGAACACAGAACCCAACAGCACAGGCTCAGGATATGCAATTCCTCACTGGAGGGTGGTGGGGACATAAGCATGATGGGTCTGGGGGTGGTGCCCTCTGCGGGGTTCCCTGCTGGCGTGTTCTTCGGTGTGTGGGTTGCTAAGTCCTGGAGTCCTGGAGCACCCTGCTGCCTGTTTGCTGGGTGGTTTGAGGGTTACAGGAGGGGCCAACTCTCATGCTACTATTTTTCATATCTCATGAGTCTGCTCGAAGGTTTTTTTTTCTTTAACCTTATATTTGGAATAATTACATTCTCACAGAAAGTTCAGAAAGATACAGAGAGATTTCACTTAACCTTCACTCTGCTTTCCCCCATTGTAACATCTTACATATAATATAGTACAGTATCAAAACCAAGACACTGACATTGGTCCGATGGAACAGGGCTTATTCAGATTGTACCAGGTTTTATATACATTTATGTTGTGTGTGTGCACACATGTGTGTATGCATGCAGGTGCATGTGCATATGCTTTTACAGTTTGATTGCTTAAGCTTTACAAACTGTTGCCACCCCGAAACAGAGCTGACACTCCTCAAGCCCCACCTCCACTAGCCTTCCCACATCTCTGTCAGGTCCATCTTTAGGCTTGTCCATGTTCTTCCTGCTGCAGGAAGGCAATGTCTTTCTCTCTTTCTCTACCTCTCTTCCTCTCTCTCCCTTGCGGGTGGGTGTGGGCTGACAAGTTGGAAATCTGCAGGGCAGGTCAGCATGCTAGAAACTCAGGCTGCATTTCTAAGGTGCAGTCTTGCAACTGAATTGCTTCTTCTGGAAACTTCAGTATTTTCTCTGAAGGCCTTCAACTGACTGGAGGAGTCCCATCCACATTATG